GCGGGTTCTGATGAGAACAGTGTAAGCGTTCAAGCAAACCACTTCTGAAGATGCAAGCCACTCGTGCTTGCGAAACGTCAGGAAGAAATTCCATTGTACGACGGCCCAAAAACCTGAAAAACGCTGAAGTTTTGAGTTATATTTGTTTCAAAGCAACTAAAGGGTGTAAAATTTGAATTTTTGCGAAAACCGACCGTGATATTTGCATGCCCGCGTTAAAAATTGTTATAAAATGCTCATAAATTTCGACGATCCCAACTGCGTATTTACAGACTTTAGTGCTGAAGACAAATCAATACAAAGTTACTAAAACTTTCGTTGCTTGAAACCGAATCCTCAACTACACACTATTTATACTTTTCCATCGAAAAGCTAAGAAATCCCATGGTTGAGGGCAAAAATCCATCATACTTGTATGAAGCAGATAAATCTGCAGCTCATTAAGCCAAAGTTCGAGCAATAAACTTCCAAAACTCACACGCTTTGCTCGATATTCGGCTGAAAAGTTTTGGAAATGTTGGTCCAGCTGAGAGCAACAAGTTCTTGAACATATCGGCCCGAAAAACATGTAAACTAGTTTCTAATGTGTTTCCTGCTCTTAACCGTCGAACTTTCCAGCTATTGCCACTAATGTATCCGGTAATATTGAGGCTGGGGGTGCCTTAAAGTAATCAATCGAACGCATAACAGGCCAGAAAATGTAGTGAGCATGATTTCAGAATAACCGAGCTGGCCTCATAGACGACTACATAATTGATGGGCATGTGATTCCAAGGGAAGTTCTATTTACCACGCCCACCAAGAAGGATTCGCCATTCCCTACTCTAGCGAACAGCGATAATGTTATCCGGGTGATAATTTCCTTCACACAAGAACAACGAGACAAAACCATTATAAGTGAGTAGAACCGATTAGTGCAGTTTTGCTATTTTTCTCGCCATCCGTTGTAGAAGCAAACATTTTTTGCGGCCACCTTAAAAGCGAAAACCCATTGTTAAAAGCATAAAGAACCGGCCTTTCGAAGGTTATCTGTGTAATTTATTACACCAATTATATAATGCGGGTTTGCTTCATCCAAGGAAAAATTGAAGTCGAGGAAAAACACTCGGGCACTATAAAAGCAACTGGCGTGCCTCTTCGGACTGGTCGTTATGCGACCAGGAGAGAAAAGGCTAAAAGCGACATTTTTCATATTTGATGAAGGTTGTCCACTTTTTACTCGGTTTTTCCGGCCACGCATCTGTTCCAGTATGAATCAGTGCCGTAAAGTCCATTTATGCCGGCAAATGGAGCACATGCTTATAAGGCAGCTTTCTTTATAACGGTCCAAGTGGAGGGAAAAACATTTCAGCTGTTCAACTTGTTTTTGTATTTTACAAGGTGGATTTGGATACTGAACCAAAACGGAATTTAAAGCAAAGTTGGCGCATTTAAAGAAGTTTGGCAGTTGTTTGGACTCTAGATTTTTTAAACTTCTGTATTACACTTTTTATTTGGTTTCTCTTTTCATACGCAAAGGAAACGAAGAATTGCGGTCCAAAAACCGGGGATTTGATTTTTCAAATCAATTGTTTTATTCAAACTGTTTGTCTTTAATGGTTCCTTTGGTGTCCACCTTTCGTCCCACTTTATCTTCAATTCTTCTTTAAACATTATTCGGTCAAATCGTTTGTTACTCGCTGAAGAAGTGCACAAAGTATGTACCTGATTCTTGGTTGCAGACACTTAAAGAGTGAGTAGCAGAGAACAAGCGCGGTTTTTTTTTCAAGATGAATCTGCGGTATTTTCCCTAGGAGCGATAGTTTAAAGAATGTTTAATTAAAAATCAAATCACATTTAGGAATGTTTTCCGGGCTTTGAAGCCGTGATTCATGGGAATTTCTTCCGGACGTTTCGCCCACAAATGCGGTGGACATTATCAAAGGCGATCAGGCAGTGGGTGAAGTGATCTCCAGTGCTTGCCGACTAAGACCGATTCAAACTGTTTGTCTCTAATGGTTCCTTTGGTGTCCACCTTTCGTCCCACTTTATCTCCAATTCTTCTTTAAACATTATTCGGTCAAATCGTTTGTTACTCGCTGAAGAAGTTCACAAACTATGTACCTGATTCTTGATTGCAGACACTTAAACAGTGAGTAGCAGAGAACGAGCGCGGTTTTTTTTTTCAAGATGAATCTGCGGTATTTTCCCTAGGAGCGATAGTTTAAAGAATGTTTAATTAAAAATCAAATTACATTTAGGAATGTTTTCGGGGCTTTGAAGCCGTGGTCCATGAGAATTTCTTCCGGACGTTTCGCCCACAAATGCGGTGGACATTATCAAAGGCGATCAGGCAGTGGGTGAAGTGATCTCC